GGAAATTCACATCTAAAATTTAAAATATCAATTACTAAATTATTTTTTATAAAAAATTAAGTAACTCATTGAAATATTTTTTTATAATACTGCTTGAAAAGTAAATTTCCGGGGTGTTTGTTGATCGAACCGTCAAGTCGGATTTACAAAGAGCCATGATGAATGCGTTCGAGATTAATTGTTAATTGTGTTTACCTTATCATTCGATGCTTTACTAATGAAAAGCAAATTCATCATTCATACTAAATTCATACTCAAGTTGTATATTCCTGCTGTGCGTGCATGATATTTTTTATGAAACAAAAAGCGAATAACGTTTTTCTTTTATTTCATTGACCTTTTTCAAAAAATAGTTGTTTGTGAACTAGTAAAACAATATTTTTGTAGTAAAAATTTAAGAAATTTACATAACTGAGTTGCAAAAAGTATACATTTAGTCTTATTTTTATACAAGCTTGGGCATAATATGCTTGGGTAAATGTTTGTTAATCGAATGACTTGATAGCTATATAAAAATTGGCATTTGTTACTCTCGTGTCCCTTCCTGAATAGTTTAAAACTAAACTGATGAGTATGACAGAGCAACGATAGAAGGGTAACCCAGCGAAAAATCACAAAGGGATGGCCCACGAACTGATGATACGCTCGCTATTTTCCTAGTATTCGTGCGCGCACTCTTCGGTTTGACCTCGATCCTTCGACGTTCCATTTTACACAAATACACACACACACACACACACACACACACACACACACACACACACACACACACACACACTCACGCATACGTCATTGCAGCTTTGCGTAGAGAAAAAAAATACGCTGGTATTATGTACTGTAAAAATCCAACCCAAGAAGCAACGACCGCATTTTTCCGTACGTGAATAAGCTACGCCCTCGCTATAGTCGACATTTCCGTCTACTGCACTACGAAAACGTGTGTGACGATAGTCTGCGATTGAATCTTTCCTTTTTCTCATACCCCATACTAGAGGTTACCGGAATACCGCGAGTTTTTCACAATGCTCTTGTATCTGTCAAATCTAATTCAGGAGTACATCTTTTTTTGCTAATATTGGGAGGTTGATCATTTTTACTGCGGCAAGTTGAAAGTGATTTTATTATAAAATTCTTTACATGTAATTTTTTTTACAAAAATACTGATAAATAAATATAAATGAATTTCAGCAGGCACACGCACACAAAAAAACAAAAATATTACAGTATATTTCTTCTACGACTTCAGTGTCGATCTTTGAATGTTTCATTTTTTATCTCATGTTTGGTCAGTTTCTTTGATACAGTGTCAAGTGAAAAAAGATGCATACCCCTTCTTGTTCGTTGAGCAAAATCTTATAGCATATTTACGCAGCTTTTATCGCAATTTCGAATGATGTTTCTTGGCAAACGGTCAAACAAATTACGGTATGAGCTGAATTTCTGCCAGTGAACTTGTTGCTAGCTAACGAACCGTGTTTTGATTAATCCAAATGTTATTGTGATACGAACCGTTTCATTTAAAAACAATATTCTTCTTGACTATTAGCAATATTGATATGAATTTTCATGAAATTTTTTTTTTCGTTTCAGATGTCAACCGTTGCAATGCGACATTATTAAGTCAACCCAAGAAATGCGAGGCAAAGTTCGAAGAAAATTATCTAGCTGACAAATAAATAGTAAGTCTCTAAAACGTGTTATGTGTTAGTGTTTTTCCTGAGCTCGCAAGCATGGGTTTTTCATACCAGCGGCCCGAAAGTGACTACTTCACTACCGCTGCGCAAAGCGGGAAGAACAATTTTCGGGCCACTGGGTATGAAAAATACAGGCCTATGCAGCGAAAAAAGAAAGCCCCAGAGCGCGTGTTTATCGACTAATTACACATACTTTGGGACTTTTCTGTTTTTCGCGGCCTAGGGCAGTAATATACTATTCTATTGAGTAACATTTTTCTATCGTTTTGGATTCATTTGATGTATCGTTGCTTTACTTCAGATGTTTTCGTTTATAAATTAAAAATAAGTAATTCGTTTTTCAAATGCATATACACAACAAAAAACGAATCTCTTTAAAAGAATGCATTAATAAACTTTCTCATCATAGAATGGTGATGTAAATAAAAAAAAAGTGAATATATCAAACTCTAAAACATGTGAAACACAGATTAGATAATCTTTGATACATGACCGATGCTCAATGAAATGAGCACATGCTCTGCTTCATGCTTGAATGCATTTCGACTATTGTGTTGCATATATTCGCACGTTAACAAGCTATAGGAATGAAAAAATTGCAAGCCTCGCCTACTGCAGTCTTTTGTTATGTACCTTTGCCAGCAGAAAAAACTCCTTTTCTCTGTCTATTACTAAAAAGGTTGTGATGAATTTTGTGTGTTATCGTTGTTGGCGTTGTTGTTGTTGATGTTGATGCCCGGTTGGTGATTATCGGCGATGAAGGGCAGTGTGCACTCAAGTATTGCGTCCTAAAGCGCCGCAGCATCATCCATAACAATGACGCTGTTTTTGTTCAGCGAAAATGACGTCGGAGACGTCATCGGCAGCTGACAGCCCGGCCCTTCTACATCGGCCTCTGTTGAACACGTATTCGGATAGCGGTGGTGGCTACAGGTCTGCTGCCACTGTCGCTGGCTGCGGGGAAACCAACGTCAACTATCCAACGTCAGGACGTGGTGCTCCAGGTGTTAGGTTCCACACCCTCGATATGGATCAAAAAATCCTTCGGTGAGTACATTCACTTTTTTACTACTAAAAAAAAACATAAATCCGTGTACTGAATCACAATGCCAGACGCAGTTTTCATACTCATCTTAGTTACCTATGTAATACATACACTTAACAGCACGCTTCGTTCTGAAGTGTACAACTTTTTTTCATGACTCACTCACACCTGCTATGAGGAATTAATCAAAACGCGCAGCATACAGTCAATAGACAAACTCTGCAGCACCATTCTATCAACCAATCAGAACGCTTATAAACTGTCAACTTTTTTGACTCAAGCCTTTTCTCATAGAGGATGCAATCCAGTCTAAAAATGGCATTCTCTATTAACGTATTTTCAAATTAAAAATGAGGATTTATTAGTAGCTGGACCAAAACAAACGTTCATAAAGTAATAAGATCACTAAAAAAATGCTATGCATGCTTCCATTTTTTTATCGCGGGCGATTATGGAACAGCACAAATATACTGCGTCAGCGGATAATCAAAATTGAAGATAAAAAATCACGGGTAGGAGTGACCCTGCAGTAGTATATGAAGGGATTGCACGTTGCACAAATTTTACGTACGAATCGATGTTCTGGTCATCCTTCAGACACACCTTTTAGAATTCTCCTTCTTTTTGCAATCTATACATTCGAGCGACTTTTGATAATGCTAGAATTGACTTTGTTAATTTTTCTTTGTCACATTACTCGTAACACTTTCATTGATAGCAGTTGCGCTGTTCTTTTGATTTTCAATATAGAAAACTTAATAATTAAAAACATGCATTTTAAATTAAATAAAAGATGACCGCTGTACTGTAATCAATTATTCATTGAATGCATTCAGTATATTGAGACTCAAATCTGTGTAAAATAATTGCAAAGTAAGCATAAAATGAATCTATTTATGTGCATAACAATTCGTAATGCCAAACTCAAATCTCAAACTATGCAGTAGCATCATTGCGATTGCAGATGAAAAAAACACACAAAAGTGCATGCATGCATAAGGAAGAAATAAACCAAGAGCACGAGAAAAATCATTATATGTATCAATCGTATGTTGCTATGAGAGTAAGTGAAAAAAAATCAATAAAAGCTGAGTCTGTTTATTATACTGACAAAGTAAAAAAATACAATGAAGATGGTCAAAGATCTACAAGGGCTCCCAAAATTTGTGTACAGATACTTTTTTTAACTTTGACAAAAAAAGAAAGAAAAATGTAGGGGATACAATTACAAACAATTTCACACCATGGACGGTGTTGCTTTTTTTCGACAAACCCTCGCTCGAAATTTCATTAATTTTATCTACATACTTATTAGCAACATAACAATATAAAATTAACAAAGTAAAATTATTATCTTGATTATCATTAAAAGAAAGCGTGCTACTTCGGTTTTATTCTAATTTACAAGGAAAAGTTTCTACTGAAACATATCGAGAAATGAAATTAGCAATTAAATGAATTCTCAATGTAGCAATAATGTTTGTATCGAGAGCACGAGCGAGAAACACGCCTTAGTTTCTGCTCTATCCGAAGACAGTATTATTTTTAGATCAATTTTCTCTCTCCGTGCCATTTCGTTGAAGTTCTCCTTTGGCATATAAGTTGCAAGCGACCCGAGCGATCGTGCGAATGAGTATAATAATGTAGTGGCATGCGACCGAAAATGTAAACTTTGATGCTAATTATTTTGTTAGCGATAAAATTTCTAAATAATTTCAGTGTACAATATTTCATTTATCGGATCGAATTTTATCAATTACCAGCAAACTCCTGCGCAACTGTAGTTTTACTATCGACTCGAGCTTTTTTTACGTATTCCATCAGTATAACTCGAAATAGCGAATCATGACGTCTTGGTCTCGGGTGTCATTGTCGATTTTCGAGCATGGTCTCGAAAATCCACCCCTTGACATTGAAGACATCGATATAGCCTTATACGCACATCCTGAATCTTTGATACCAAATCTATAGAGACGATTGAGTGGAAACGATACTTGCAAGAGATGCTGTTACGCGCGACTTTGCGGCGTAAAATGTATAGGTAGTATAGCGCAATATGTGAAAGCTCACAGAAGCGACAGATCAGCAGATACGCGTCGGTCACTTGGGCGCCGGCGTCGCGGTGTGGCGCTGCTATGCTACATAGCCGCAGTAGCCGAGCTTGCACAGTCGTATAGCGGTGGCTGGCTGGCTGGCTGGTTGGCGCGCACGAGGCCGCGTAGGGAGAAAGGCGCGCGCCAACAGTTAGAAACGTGCTCGACGCAGCCAAGAGCAAAACGGCCTGTACTCCTCGCTCGCGCGTCGCATGCAGCCCGGCTCGCTTGCCATGCTGTCATGATACGGCTGCTGCTACTCTTTTTTTCGAGATAGACAAAATTATCAACGAGACGCGTTCATCTGTGAGTGCGATAAAAGATAATATTAAAAAAGTGCAATTATATTACATACAAGTTAAATTGATGACATCGGTGATGTGCTGGTGATAAAAAAGTGCATGCAAAATTGTAGTGCCATATCTCGACTCTTAAAAAAGTTACAACCAAACAATTTCAATTCAATAGCGAGATGGCAAATATGTGCCACTTGTCGGCGCTGCAATAAGTTGTGAACTTTTGTGAGATTATGCGCTGTAAATAATTTTTCTTTTTTAAACTTGCTAAACTTGTTACGATGAGTATCGTTTGTTTTACAATGTATTCATCGGAAATGTCAAAATTCATGAAATTTTTTGCTCAGAAGTAGAGAAAGAAAATTTTATGCCAGTTAGATTCTTTGATGATCGCTGCGATACAACCTCTGCTGATATTTTAGAACACATAGCAGTATCACAAGACACGATACGCAATTTCAAACTTTGTCAGTAAGCTTTTGTCAGGGGTCAAGCTTGACTGCACGTTTTATTATTTCCGCGCGCGGTACAACGGCCTACCCACTTCGTAATGACAATTCGATAAATTCGAGCCAAGCTTATATACAAGCGAAAATAGACTTTCATCATTCTGGAAAATTCTAATGCCAAAAATAATACAAATATCAGCATTGTAAAGAGTTCGACATTCGCTCGTGTACGCAAAACTCGAAAGCTCTTGCCAGACCGGTTAAAACGTAGTATATCTGAATTGCGAAGTTAAAAATACAAGAGAGACAAGCTGAAAACAAAAAGAGCATAATATAAGAAATTGCAGTTCGGTGCCTTGTTAATGAACGATCTTCACGCGGAGACGTGTTGCACCAAAAGTAAATAAAAGAAAGAAAATAAAATGATGTTAATCATTGAAGTACGTCATCGCGAGAGAGCATCGTCGATTCAGTTTCTCTGCGTTAGATAACCAACGCGTACCAAGACTGCAATGGAGCATTAATTGCCACGGTAAGTCGAGAGAAAAAAAGGATAAACTTTGTATGAAATATGGGTGAAAAAAGTTCGCTATCATATAGCGGCACCATATAAGTCGTTAGTACAGAATCTTCGCATCTGTTTTTATGACTCCCCCGTGACACTCTTTTCAGGTATATTTCCACATTTTTTCCTATGAATGACTGGGTCAATTTTATTTCAAATTCTTTCTTTCGATTCTTTCGATGAACATAACAGAAATAACAAAAACAAAAATTATGATTCATTTACGCTCTTGACATTATTTAGAATTTTGGATTTTTTTGAATAGATGGTCAATGAAGTAAAAATTAATATTTTCTTTCAGTTTATTTTAATTTGTTTTCTTAATTTATATTCTTCTAGATAATAGAGGTTTAAATTATAAATTATCCTTTCTCATTAGAGAATCAGAAAAATTTAAAAATTATTTTCATCTATATGGGGTAATGATACTGATATTACTTTTTCTTCATAAAAATCGAAACAGCTAAATATAATTTTTATGGTAAAATATTCCCAACTTTAATTCAATTAATACTTTCAAGCGTAGTTTTGTCCTTGTATATATTGTATGATTTCAATACATTCAATAGTAACGTTTTGCGCCATAAGATTGACACTGAATTATAAAACGAAAATAAGGCGGAACTATATCGAGAGATACGCGATGTATTAATCATTAGGTTGTTGTTAAATCAGTTTTATCGTGCGCAAGAATACGGGAGGTAAAAAGGGGGTCAAGACCCAGGTGTACCAAATAAATTCCAACTGCCGTTGTTACTCGTCTACTATACCACGCGACCCTTTCACTATATGTTAATTAGAAGAGCTTTGCGGTATTCAGAGAATTGATTTCTTCACGTGCACAGCACTGTCAGTAATAGCAGCTCCTTTTATTTCTCGACGAATCCTTCAATTTCACTGCGAAGCGAAACTCAAATTAATAGCTGATCTCTTTCGCTATAGGCTCAACAAATATTATACAGCCAGTAACCTACATTAACATATCGCTATTATTTTATGCCATTAAATTACTTGCGCAGCGAGGCGATGGCCGCAAATTCGAAGGTGGCAGAAACACAAAGGAACTTTTTTACTTCGAGATACATCGGAGACTCTTCAATACATTGACGGCCGAAAAAAAAATAAATAAATGCAGCACATTAGCGATGAAGTATCGATAAACAAAATTTCTTCTTCTCACAATGCAACCGCATATAATTGAATTGTGGAGCCCGGACTCATATTGCATTTCGATCTGCTTGGAAGTTCAAATGCAAAGCACTAAACTTTCAGCGAAGCGCGAATATCTTTGACTGTATATGTATATAAAAGTTTGCTGGCAAGATCAGTAGCTATACATCTTGGCAGGTTCGCACATCCAACGTATGTGCGATATACACAGCTTGGAAGGCGCGAGCGAGTCGGCCAGCGCGCGTATACGTATACGCGAGTATATTTCTCAGGAAATTCGCGCTGTACAACACACACACAGCCCACGCATCTACCTATGTATACACAGGCGCTAATCCATTCGACGCGGCGTGTCGTGGCTCGGCCAATGCATAGTATAAAGCATGCATGCACATATTGAACGCGCGCGCGGCAAAAAGGATGGATCCTACATAACACAGAAACGTGGCGCACTAAGGCCTGGCCTTGCGGTTTGGCTCTCAATCTCCTTCTTCGTGTACTCCCTTCATCTTTGCCTCTCTTTCTCTCTTGCCCGCCCGCTCGCTCGCTATTTTTTACTCGCTGCACATTTGCAAATATACGTATATATATGCACAACAGGGTGAAAAAGAGCTACGCCGCAGCAGCGCAAGCCGCAGTGCTCTCGCGAGAGCTTTTTTCAATACAACCGCAAATGGCTAGGAGCAAAAGAATGCCTGCTCTCGCTACAAATTGCCATATACGTGCACCAGAGCTTTTATTTTTTGCGCCACTATATGTATGCGATGCACAATGCCTGCCGCCCTCGTGCCAACGAATAATGTAGCCCTTTCTACCTCAAGTGACGTACATGTGCGTATGCCTATATGCACTATATACCTATATGTATAATAATAGCAACGGTACTGTAATGGAGATGAGAAAGCTCGGAGCCACCAAGTCCTTTTTGCCGCCGCCGCTGCTGCGCCTGCGACGAATTATCAGCTCTCAGTCAATTACGCGCTAAACGAACGAGGCGTATATACACGTAACGCGTATAGCCTTGCGCGAGACGGGAAAGAGTCGAGCAATATATGGAAGAGGTACTGCCTTACGGAAAAGCTCGAGCGAGGCATATAATTAACGGGGCCCATGTTTTCGACAGTCTAGCCTCATAATGCAGGAGATGCCGGCACGCAGGGGGAGTATATTGTTTGCTCGAGGCTTATTCACGCGCATAATGCAAATTAACACTCCCTCCTGTAATGTAATTCCTAGCCTACATGTAGCGCTGCGATCGCCTCTCCTCGTTTCTTCACGTGCGTATCGCAATCTATTTTTACGCGCCTTTGATGAACCATGGAAAATTTCCACTGTCTGCACATTGTTATATACCTTATAGATCCGATGAAAAGTCAAGGTAGTGAATAAAATTGTATCCGTGTTAAAGATTACAGATTACAGAAAAGGCCTAGTAGATCGCAGGAAAATGTTTCATCATGCAACAATAAAACAACAAGACAATACTGGCTGGCTTCAAAATTTAGCAAAAGTTTTTATGAAACAACTTGGAAATAAGAAAGATCTTTTGTTGAAACACGCGCTGGCGCCTCGTGCAGTCGGTAATATATGAGCTACAGCATGGAGCGCCCGCCACGCATTTCAGATTTCAGAGAGCTTACTCCACTTAGTCTCGAAGAAATCCGTGGTTAACGAAACCCATGTGATCTCGAAAGCTCATACATCGGAAATTACAAGCTTACAAAAAAGATCTTTTTCTCTCTTGACATCGCGCAGCATCAGCAGCAACCATTCGTTTTTCCATGAATACATATCATAGAATTGCGGCAGTGACACATAGAGAGTATGAATGCCGGGAACGAAAAACTTCAAAAAAAGAAGAGAAGATAGAAGAGTAAAGAGTATGAAAAAGGAGCAGGGACGAGCTTATATAAAAACAAACAAAAATCAGTCTATACTCGTGGATATATGTGCATACGAGCACTTGTGTATGTATTATAGCATAGAGTACTAAGCAAAGTTTGCACTGCGGCATTTATGTATACTGACCTAAATATTGTCAGCTTGCTGCGTGCATCGATACAGCGAGAGTGTGTGCGTTCGTTTTTCTCCATGCCCCTTGCTTCTACCTATACTTCAGTGAAAAATGCAAAAAAAAACGACAAAAGCAAATTGCATGTCGAGAAAACGTTTCGATGCTTGTAACTTGCTAATTTTGTTGAAATTTCTACGTTCACAAAGAGAACTACTTCACGCCTGAACATGTCTGGTGTATCCACTTTAGCAGTATGGCAGAGGATTTTTGCTTGTGCCACAATACGCACCAACGAAGATTTCAAAAGTATAATTATTAATTAAAATGCCGTTGGATAATCGACTTTTGGAGTGATTTACGTGTGTTCAGAAGAGCTGCGCATGCAAGAAAAAGTTTTCCATTTCAGTTCCAAGCTCAGAAAAAAAAGTTATTAGTTCGGTTATTGAATAAACGTAAATAATTAAATACACTGGCTATGATCACTAGATTTGTTAATAAAAAAAATAAAGGATGGAAAAATTGAAAAATTACCCCATCATCGTGTTTTTCAGAATTGATGCCCGATTCCCTGCCGGGGACGCGAGTTTTTTAAAGAATGGCTGGGAAGAATACGCGTAACTATGCTCATGAATTAAGAAAGTATATATAACAACGACACATGGAATAAAAAAGACGAAAAGTTAATGAAAACGAACACAGACGTCTAGCGGCACAGACATTTACGACTCTTTAAAATGAACTTTTGTTCTGACAAGCGAGAAGTAGTATATTTTTCGCTTTTACAAACACACGTACGTGTGCATGCACAAACACAAGCTCTTTTCCAGCGAAGAATTTCACGTGCAACGTAGGGAGACTGCAAAAGAGCTAGAGAAAGAAGAGAGACAGAGAAAAAAAGCCGCAACTCTCGCTATACAGCGCCGCGCACTCGAGCTCTCGAGGAAGTTAAAATAGGTAAATGAACTGCTGCTTTAAGAGCAAATTTAAAAAACTTTTTCTTACACAGCTGATGACAAAGTTGCCTCTTTTTCACTCGGATAGCTGTATTTCATTTTCTCATCGAGTAAATATTATCTGTCGCAGCGACTGCTACTGTATCTGCAGCGATAAAATTGCCAGTATCCTGTGCTTGAGCAAGAATCTCATAGCTAACAGAATCTATTGATTTGCGCGAGTATTTTCATCAGTCCTGTGACTGCTTGGTGAAGCGATATCTATATAAAATATGTGTACATACATATATGCCAGAAGATACACGTTCATTTTAAAGTATAAGAAAAATGCAACTAGAATACGCATGACAGAGAATAAGAACTTGCTTATATGCGCGATATCCTAGCAGTTGCATGACATATATAAGTTTTAGTTGCTGTTCAGTACATTATTACCATATAGTTTGTACTCGCGAGTATGACGTAATATTCTTAGAGCGCGCATTTATGCATATTAATTCTGGCAATAGATTATATGCGCGCGACGAAATTTTAACTGTAGGCCAAACGCACACGTTAACTTTGTACAAAATTAGCGTAATATTTCATTAAGCCCATAAAATCGCACCAGCTGTTAAACATCTGCAGAAATTCTGCCTAGACATCGAATTGATTGCTTCGATCCTTATAAGTTATTATATTATAATATAAATAATACTTGTATATTCTTATTAACTATAGATATTTATACATAAATCATATATATGTGTTGCATATGTTTTCCCGTGTAAATTTCTTTACTGGCGGAGAACGTATCATAAACTTCGACTCGAGCGTACCTCGTAAAAACT